CTACCACGCCCGGCTGATTTTTTGATTTATTGTAGAGATGAAGTCTCGCCAAGTTGCCCAAGCAGGTCTCGAACCTGCGGGCTCGGGCAATCCACTCACCTCAGCCTCCCAAGGTGCGGGATTACAGGCTGAGTTACCAAGCCCGGCTAATGAAGTTATTACTTGTGTTGATTTGTGCTTTATTTGTAAGTTCTCCTGCTCTAAAATGATATAACCAAACTGAAATTCTTGTGTTTTTTTTTTTTTTGAGTTGGAGTCTCACTCTGTCACCCAGGTTGGAGTGCCGTGGCATGATCATGGTTCACCGCAGCCTTGACCTCCTGGCCTCAAGTGATTCTTCCACTTCAGCCTCCCAAGTAACTGGAACCACAAGGCGTGCACCACCACACCTGCCTAATTTTTTGATTCATTGTAGAGACGAGGTTTCGCCAAGTTGCCCAGGCTGGTCTCAAACCCTTGAGTTCAAGCAATCCTCTGACCTGGGCCTCCCAAAGTGCTGGGATGTCAGGCGTGAGCCACCACGGCTGGCCTACCTCACACAGATGTTTTAGAAACCACCAAAATATTCTCACACTTCTCACATATTGGTTTTTATCACAAATCACAGCTCCTGGCATATACAGAGAACTCAGTAAGATGAATAAATGAATTAATGATACTGACAAAGCATAGCTCAGAGAATGGGTAGCTTCCCTACAGAGACTTACGAGATCCCAAAGGGCTCAAAGCAGACAGTTCTACCCATTCGACGGTGACTAGCAATTCTGCCAAAATCCATCTGAGGAGTTCTTGTTGGAATGTATTCCTTCCACCTGGCTGTAACGTTGAGTCCTTTAACAAACCTCCAGCCTCCTTGCTTCCTTCCCTTCTCAGCCTCTACTATTTTGTTATCTATTTTACTTGTGCGAGACCAGCCTTCGAGACGCCTTTTCCACTGCCAAAACAGTTTTTGGATCCATCCCCGTTGATGTCTTTTAGTGCTTTTGCCGTTTTTTGTTCCACCACTTCCATAACTGCAAAATGTTCCTTCTCCTTCAAGGACTTTTTAAATCCGGAAGCTGATAATGATATATGAGGCCATTCTGAATGGCTAGAAGGAGGATGAGGAATGTTCCCAATGCAGAGAAATATTAAGTGCTTGAGACAACAGATGTGTTAATTATCTGCATCTGAATATTTGTAAATATTATCTGTCAATTTAAAATTGGCCAGCCGCAGTGGTTCACGCCTGTAATTCCAGTGCTCTGGGAGGCTGAGGTGGGGGGATCGCTTGAGGCCAGGAGTCTGAAACCAGCCTGGGCAATATAGCAAGACCCCATCTCTATTAGAATATGTGTGTGTGTGTGCGTGTATGTGTATAGATACAAATATTTTAGATTTCACTCTGCCACCCAGGCTGGAGGTCAGTGGCACGATCACGCTCACAAAGGCTTCAATCTCCTGGGCTCTGGCAGTCCACCCACCGCAGCCTGCCGAGTAGCTGCGACTACAAGCACAAGTCACCATGCCCGGCTAATTTTTTGATTTATTGTAGAGATGAAGTCTCGCCACGTTGCCCAGGCTGGCCTTGAACCCAGGGGCTCAAGCAATCCTCCCTCCTTGGCCTCCCAGAGTGCTGAGATGACAGGCGTGAGCCACTGTGCCCAGTCATGAACAAATAATTTTAAAAACTAAAACTTATTGTTGGACAAGTCAGTCACTTTCCCCCTGTCCAATCTAAAATACAATTTTGAATTCTCAGGATACACGCTAGAAAGAGACCACATGGCTGCTTTTGAAAAAAAAAAAATTTAATTTAAACGCATTCCTCTGTCCAAATGTCATGATATGTACCAGGAAGCACAGCAGAATTCCATACGGAATGTAAGTGGGGGACCCAAAAAGCCCCCACAACTACCTTTTAGAGGGTGGGCCCCTTGGAGTGGAGCCTTCCCTCCTAGGTGAGTGTTCTTGGAACCCATCAGCATCGGTAGACCAGCTGGCGTTGTTGCGAGAGACTGTGAATTGTTTCTCGAGACCCTTTCAACGCGTTTGCCCATTGCATGAGGGGTGATGGATGAGCATGCCTGCCCACACCGTGCTGAGTGTTCAGCAGCTTTTGACTCAGAATGGCATGACCCATGCCCCAACCTCCCTCTTCTACCTGATCTCATGCTGAGTGACTTTTTTGCTGTTTCCCAGATGAAAAAAGTCCTCAAAGGGAAATATTTTGTCTATGTGAAAAAGGCGAAACAAACAATGGCAGAAGCACTAGAAGGCATCAATGTGGACGAGTTCAAAAACTGTTTTGAGCAGTAGAAAAATCATCCCGATAGGTGTATTGCATTCAACAGAGAGGACTTTGGAGCGGACTGAAATCTAAACATGGGAGAATAAATACACAATGTTTTAACAAATAAATTCTGGGTATTTTGGGGTCCACCCTTGTATACCATGAGCCAATGAACCATTGCTTGTGAACATGAATTCTCATCTTCAGAGAAGGTGAGATGGACCCAAAGACTCATTTTTCTAGAATAATCTCTCAAGTGTGGTAGACCAAAGGCTTCTTTTTTTCATAGCACAAAACAACAGCATCGACCACTGACATTCTTTCCCTGAAACCTATGAAGACAACACTTTGAGGGCGATTACCACCCTACCCAACCCATGTCAGGCTACACCCATCTGGCTATTTTTAATTAACCCCTGGAAAATCTTAGGCTACATTTCCCACCAAGACTGCAGATTATTATATTCATTTAGTTAGTTTTATATTTAATTTATTGTCTTTTTTTGGTAAAGACAGGATCTTGCTATGTTGCCCAGCTGGTCTTGACCTCATGGGCTCAAGCAATCCTCCCGCCTCGGCCTTCCGAGTAGCTGGGACTACAGGCATGCACCACCACACCCAGCTAACTTTTTTTATTTTTGTGTAGACTCAAGGTCTAGCTATGTTGCCCAGGCTGGTCTTGACCTCCTGAGCTCAAGCAATTCCCCTGCCTTGGCCTTCCAAAGTGCGGGGATGACAGGCATGGGCACCATGCCCAGTCAAGACTGCAGATTAATTAGTTTACTTATCGTTATATTTTTATGTATTTATTTTTTAGAGACAAGGTCTCATGATGCTGCCCAGTCTGGCCTCGAACTCCTGGCCTCAAGCGATTCTCCTGCCTCAGCCTCCCAAAGCACTGGGATGAGAGTTGTGAGCTGCCACACTCAGCCAAGACCACAGATTATAAACCACCAGGGTGGAAAAAGAGACAATTCTTCCCCAATCCCTCACCTTGATCAAGCCAACACCACACAGAAGGTCACAGACTCACACATGGATTCCTCTAGCTAAAGGGGCTGAGTTTCTTTCAATTCCATCTCGGAGTTTCACTTTGCTTTTCCACAGTGCGTGTGCAAGCAACAGATCATTCAGCAGCTTCAAAAATCACAATTTGCCCCTCTTCGTTTCAATAGTGCCCATTTTTAATGATAACTGCATAGGTCACTAACAGCCAGCTGTTGAGACGGTCAGCACACAGCGTTCATTTGTTCTCAAAGATGTCTCCAAATATGAGGCTCTCTCGTGGAAGAATCTGTCCCGACTCATAAGGCTGAGAATCCTCCCAGAAGAGCCAAGTCAAAATGGCACAGTGATTTCATAAGTTATTGAGAACTGAGGTAGTGAGAGAAAAACCAGGCTCAATGTCATTGAGGGTAATTAACTGCAAAACTGATAATATGCCTGTCATCCCAGCATTTGGGGAGGCTGAGGCAGGAGGACAGCTTGAGTTTAGGAGTTTGAGACTAGCCTGTGCAACATCACAAGACCTCGTCTCTACAAAAAAATTTTAAAAATTAGCTGGGCATGGTGGCGCATGCCTGTAATCCCAGTTATTTGGGAGGCTGAGGTGGGAGGATGGCCTGAGCCCAGGAGCTCAAGGCTGCAGTGAGCTGTGATTGCACCACTGCTCTCCAGCCTAGGCCACAGAGTGAGACCCTCACTCAAAAAGATTAAAAAAGAGTTTATATCCCCCCAGTCGGCTCAAATCTTTCTCCCCAATGCCCTCTAAAAGTGGGATTTCCATCAATGGCACTGGGACGTCCCGTTAGGATTTAGAGCAGGAAATACCACAGTCATGATATTTCTCAGACACACTTTGCAAAATCTAAATTCAAGTCAAACCTAGATATCTAATCATTCACTTACCCTAGAAAAATTGGGCCTTTCTTTTTTTTTTTTTTTTTTTTCTTCACTCGAGTCAGAGTCTCACTGTGTTGCCCAGGCTGGAGTGCAGTGGCACGAACATGGCTCACTGCAGCCTCGACCTCCTGGGCTCAGGCAATCCTCCCACATCTGCCTCCCAAGTAGCTGGGAATACAGGCATACACCACCATACCTGGATAATTTTTTTGATTTTTGTAGAGACAAGGTCTCACTGTGTTGCCCAGGCTGGTCTCACACTCCTGGCCTCAAGTGATCCTCCCTCCTCGGCCTCACAAAGTGCTGGGCTGACAGGCGTAAGCCACTAAGACCAGCCTTTCAAATTCAAAGGACTGGAGGTATTGAATGCGTAGACTAGCAATGAACTTAGTGACAGAAGGACATTTGCAGTGTCGTTTAACTCTATATAGGATCGATCTGAGTGGACTCTACAAAACAACTTTAGTAGCCGTACAAGAATAGCACAGCCACTCTCAAGGGTCTCCTAGATTTTAATCATTGCTCACTTTTGCTGATGATCTTAAAGGAAAAACTTCCCTCCCTGAGAAGCCCAGAAGGCATGGGTAGCTTGGATCAGCAGGGGGGCTTCAAGCTGGGTTTTTTGTTTTTGAGTTGGGGTCTCTCACTCTGTTGCCCAGGCTGGAGTGCAGTGGCATGATCACGACTCATCGCAGGCATAACCTTCTGGGCTCAGGTGACCCTCCCACTTCAGTCTCCCAAATAGCTGGGACTATAGGCGCATGCCACCAAGCCTGGCTAATTTTTATTTTTTAAATTTTTTGTAGAGATGAGGGCTTGTTATGTTGCCCAGACTGGTCTGGAACTGCGGGATCAAGGAATCCTCTCACCTTGGTCTCCCAAAGTACTGGAATGGCAGGCGTGAACCACTGTGTCCAGCCTAAGTAGAGAGTTTTTTTTTTTTTTTAATAATTTTTTCTTCTCTTTTTTTATAGAAACTGTGGGGTCTTGCTAGATTGCTTGGGCTGGTATCTAATTTTTGGGATCAGGTGTGAGCCACCACATCCAACCTAAGTAGACAGTTTTTTTTTTTTTTTAAGAATTTATTTTTTAGAAACGGTGGGTTCTCACTATGTTGCCCAGGCTGGTCTCGAACTCCTGGCCTCAAGCAGTCCTCCAACCTCAGCCTCCCAGTGTGTTGGGAGCTATGAACAGCTATGACAGCTATGAACCACTATGCCTGGGCCTAAGCTAGATTTTAAAAAAATTATCTACTTTTTTTTCGGGTGAGGCACTCAAATGAGTTCACCATACATAGAGACTCATGGCTCCAAAGGAACAGAGGACATTCCCACCCAATAATGGAACATTGTCTAACCACACACAGCACAAAGCAGCAGCAGCCATTACTGCAGAAAGCGGTCCAGCTTCTCCTGGATCCGGGCGAACGCATCCTTCCCCAAGTAGTCTATACGGCCCTCCTCCCATTTTCTTCTCTCTTCCTCGGGACTCAGTTCCTTGACCTTCTCTTCGATGGAAATCTCCGAGACAGAGATGGCCAGGTCAACCTAGGGAAACAAGCCAGCAGGGAGATCGTTTTGTTGTTGTTATTTGAGTTGGGGTCTCACTGAGTCGCCCAGGCTGGAGTGCAGTGGCATGATCACAGCGCCCCACAGCCGTGACCTCCGAGGCTCAGGCGTTCCTCCCACCTCAGCCTCCCAAGTAGCTACAGGCGTGTGCCACCATGACTGTCTTTTTTTTTTCCTATAGGGATGAGGTCTCACTATGTTGCCCAGGCTGGTCTTGAAATGTTGGCCTCAAGCAATCCTTCTGCCTTGGCCTCCCAAAGTACTGGGATTATCTGCACCTGGCCTCAACTGTGCTTTTAAAATTGAGTAATATATTTTACACACCCAGTGTTAGACTGCATTAACACTTCATTGTTATGGTTTTTTTCTTTTTCTTTTGGTATTTTTTTAAGAGTGGGAGTCTAACTCTCTCTCCCAGGTTGCAGTGCAGTGGTACAATCACTGCTCACCATAGCCTCAACCACCAGGGCTCAGGCGATACTCCCAGCTCAACCTCCTGAGTAACTGGGACTACAGGTGCATGCCACCACATCCAGCTCTTTTTTTATTATTTTCTGTAGAGATGGGGTCTTGCTATGTTGCCCAGGCTGATCTCGAACTCCTGGACTAAAGGGATCCTCTTGCCTCAGCCTCCCAAATAGCTGGAACTGCACACACACTACCCTGCCTGCTTTTTTGTTGTTGTTGTTGTTGTTTAATTTTTTTGGAGAGACGAGTTCTTACTATGTTGCCTGGTCTGGTTTCGAACTCCTGGGCTCAAGCGATCCTGCTTTCTTGGCCTTCCAAAGTGTTGGGATGACAGACATGAGTCACCATGCCTGGCCTAGAGATGATGGGTTTCGAAGTTCTCTGTCAGAGAGGGAACTTCCATGTGGCTTAGGATTCAACAAAAAATATCAACCTCTGTTCTTTTTTTTTTTTGAGTTAGAGTCTCACTCTGTCTCCCAGACTGGAGTGCAGTGGCACGCTCCTGGCCATCGCAGCCTCGACCTGCTGGGCTCCGGTGATCCTTCTGCCTCAGCCTTCCCAGTAGCCGGAACTACAGGCGCGTGCTACCACGCCCGGCTCATTTTTTTGATTTATTGTAGAGATGAGGTCTCGCCAAGTTGAGACCCAGGTGGGTCTCAAACCGTGGGCTCAGGCAATCCACTCACCTCAGCTTCCCAAAGCGCAGGATTACAGGCTGAGACACCGAGCCTGGCTCAATCTCCATTCTTAAGGGAGAGTTTGCATCCTGAGTGCTTTTTGCTGGAACTAACACACACTAGGTCTTACATAGTAGGCTTAGAAGAAGATTATTATTGCCCAAGTTTTTTGAAATTTCATAAAAAGTATACGAGATTGCTGTTTCCTAAGAATTGTTTTAGGGCACTGGGCACCATGGCTCATGCTTGTAATACCAGCACTTTTGGAGGCCAAAGCAGGAGGATCACTGGAGGCCAGGAATTTGAGACCAGCCTAGGCAACATAGTAAGACCTCATCTCTACAAAAACAAAATAAAAAAGTTAGCCGGGCATGGTAGCACACACCTGTAGTCCCAGCTACTCAGGAGGCTGAGGCAGGAGAATCACCTAAGTCCTGGAGGTTGAGGCTGCTGTAGCCATGATTGTGCCACAGAATTTTTAAAGGGTTTTTACATATATGACTCTACTTTCTACAGTCATTCTCATTTCTTTTATTGCAAATAGAGCCATCTTATTAATCAAAGAGATGACAAGAATTAAGGGGCAAAAAACCTCACGAAGTCCACTCTATAATAGTCTAGCATTCCCCCCGCTAAGAATACTTGTATTTAAACCCAAGGGGGAGAAACTCCTGAGAGAGTAACATCTAGAATTACATCTTTCCACCCCTCGTAGTTTTCAAGTCAAAACAGCACTAATGATTGCAATATTCATGATGACAGGAGACGTGTATCCAAGAAGACAACACAGTCCTCTGATTTTAGGAAGTAGAGCATGGGGGTCCTTTATAAGATAGTGGGGACCCTTGGGAGGAAATCAAAAGGCCCCAGTTCATCAAATGAATGTCTGAGAGTCCACTCAAGTTTACAAGCCAGGCACTCACTAGGGTTTCTTCCAGATGACTTTCCTGTCTAATCATTCCCTGCTTCCTCCCTTCAGTTCTTTGGGGTGGATAACCCTGTCTCCATCTCATCTATCTATCTTTCTTTCTTTTATCCATCCATCCATCCTATCTATCAATCACTACCTATCCATCATGTCTACTATCTATCTATTGACCATTCATCTATCTATCTATCCTATCCATTATCCTACCTATCTTCTATTTATCTTTTAATCAATCTATCATCTATCTGCCTATTTATCATCTTATCCATCTATCAATCTATCAACCATTCATCTGTCATCAGTCTATATTTCTATCTATCATCTATCTACCTATCACCTATCCACCTGTCATCTGTCTGTCTGTCATGTATCAAATAAATGTTCAAAAAAGTAATACACTCACCCAATATCCAAAACCGACCACACAACTGAGGTGTCCAAGGCAGGCGTGCCCTACTTCACACTGATGCTCCATCACCCAATAATATAATAATGACAGATTCAACTCAAGGAGCCTCAAAATTATCCTTCTGAAGGGATAAACTCACACTTTATAACAAGTGGAGTTTCAGAAGTCCTGACACCCACAGCTCTAGAGAAATAGTTTAGAATGCTGCATTTGGCATTTATGAGACTGAACGAGTAAGGATGAAAAAAAGGTGTCCATATTTTCCCCAAAGTGGCATCTGGTGAAGGCAGTTAGCAAATGAAAATATTAGGTCGCATTCTAAATACATGTTCAGGCCAGGTGTGGTAGCTCATGCCTGTTATCCTAGCACTTTGGGAGGCCAAGGCGGGAGGATTGCTTGAGTTCAGGAGGTTGATACCCAGACTGGGCAACAGCGCCAGACTCTGTCTCTACAATAATTTAAAATATTAGCTGGGCATGGTAGAACGCATCTGTGGTCCCAGCTACTCAGGAGGCTGGGGTGGAAGAATTGTCTGAGCTCAGGAGATCAAAGCTGCAATGAGCCGTGTTCGTACCACCGTGCTCCTGCCTGGGTGACAGAGTGAGGCATCGACTCAAATAAATAGATAGATACACATTCAATACTAACTTTCAGCCTAAATCCAACACCCAGCTTTATAGTTACACATACTATTACTTAAAGACCAAAAGGTTAACATCAGGGCATGCTTGGAAAAAGAAAAGGTTAGCACTAAGTATGTCTAGGAAGAGAGTTTAAGGTGAGAACAACTGTGAAAGGTAGGAGAAATAAGAAGGATGCATTTCATTTCATTGTGAGAGAAGAAATCGTTTGCATGCTTGATTTGATATGAACATTCACCCATTAAATTTGCCAGCTCTTACAATTAATTCTCTTCATTTCAGAAAAGAGATTGCTGTGCATTAATTTTCAGAGCCCCTGAATTTTCCTTCAATTTTTTTTTTTGAGTTGGAGTCTCACTCTGTCGCCCAGACTGTAGTGCAGTGGCCGCTC